CAATTTTCATTTCCAGAGCCCACCTTCCAGACCCTCTGCTGGACCAACAATGTCGCCCGGTCCAAACCCACCCGACTACATAATCAACCCACCCATCACAATTCCCAACCCACCTGAATACATACCCAGCCCACCCAAGCGCACACCAAATCCACCCATTTACAAACCACCTGTAGTATACCCGGCGCCAATTCTGCCACCACCTCCGTCGCACGAGGTCCACCAGTTTGCCGTATGGTGCGTGGCTAAGCCTTCGGTGCCCGATCCAATAATCCAAGAGGCCATGGATTACGCGTGTGGATCGGGCGCAGATTGCAATTCTATTCAGCCCAATGGGCAATGTTTTCAGCCCAACACTTTGCTTTCACACGCTTCTTATGCCTTTAATAGCTACTGGCAGAGCAGAAAGGTGACCGGAGGTACCTGTGATTTTGGTGGGACCGCCATGCTTGTCGCCATTGATCCCAGTAAGTTCAAATCATGAAATGTCTGCATCTATCTTTTCTGGTTAATTATTTTATTTAATTATGTGATTATTTTACCTAATCAAAGATTTTCTTTTCAAACGTAATTGTCAGGTTCTTATGGATGCCAGTATATCTATACTTGATGATGCTAATGTATGCAAATCTTGAAAAGAAGCATATGACCCCAAACCCAATTTGAATGTCTGTTTACAGCTATGTATTATACAGAAATCAGTCAAGAATTCGAAGCTGCTCTTTTCATTTTCCTTATATTATATTCTGTAAAAAGGAAGGATTTTTGAGGTCTTCCATTTGTTTAAAACCCACCATTTACATTGAATTATTTGTTCGTAGTAATTAATCATATTTACTCCAGAAAATTTAAAACAATTAAATTCTTTTACTTGAGGAGTAATAATAGTAGATCGGAATCAGATCTAATTTTTTTATTTTCTGAAAGAAGATAAAACGAAGAATTCTTTGTTATAGTTTATTGCAAAAGTCCTACTAGAAAACAAAATATTTCAATTAGCCTTTGATCTAATTAGTGGAGATGAAGAAATAAGGAGGCAAATTGCATCCATCTTTATTGTGTCCGCTTCTGCTTAAATGTTTTTCGAGAACCTACAAATATCTAAGAACCCGACAAGATGAATAAATTTTTAAAAAAAAAAAAAAAGACAAAAGGTTGAATAATCCATATATTACTTACACTAATATATATTTATATAGATTATATCATAAAAGAAAAAAAATCTCTGCACAGTTTCAGCGGCACGTATATTCATATTTTACTGGCAATAATTTAATTTCTCGTACAAGCAGTCTCTTGGACGTGCATAGCCGACACGTTGGACTTATTAGGAAAAAGCCAATGACAGGACAATTTCTCTATTCAATAAAATATTTAGTGATATCCCTTCACTACCTGCAACCCAATATGCCCATATTCTTCATATTTTGGATATATACATATTTAAATTTTTTATATTTTATTATATTTAAAATAAATATAAAAATTATTATTTATTTTATTTATTAATTTAAATTTAAATAAAATTTTATTTTTAATCCATATTTATTTATTTTTTAAAAAATAATATTATTAATGAGAGTTTATTTTTTAATAAATTTAATTTATTTTTATCTTTTAAATAATAGTACATTATTTTTTAAAAATTTAAATTTGATGTAAATTTATTTAAAAGTATTTTAAATTATTAATTTTTGAAGAAATAAAATTTATTTTTAATAGATTTAAACTTAAAAATTATAATTTAAACAAAAAAATAATTAAAAATTTACATTTCAAGTCTTTAAAAATTATTTTTATTGAATACATAATCTTTGTTTTTTTGGTTTAAAATGATAACATTTTTGATAATCAACACCAAATGTTCATTCAATATAAGAAAATTTTAAAAATAAAATTTTGCATTCTTTATTTATACCTAAATATGCGATAAAAATTATCTTGATTCCACCACCAAAAAAAGGTAAATACTAAATTTGAACACCATAATTAACGGACTCTAATTTGTGATTATCTAAATCCTAATGTAAAATAAAAATTTAAAATTTATTAAAAAAAAAAAAAAAAAAAACAAAACTTGCTTAAAAGAAGACCACTTTCTTGCGAAGATTCTTTTACTACGGCGTTCATTATAAAAGTTAGAAAAAGAGCCAAACAGTAGATCACGGAAGAGTCACATGCAGCTTGGTCTGTCTTGTTCAATCACGGGCTCAAAATCTTCAAAACAAAACAAAAAAAAGGCAAATCATCCAATTATTACCACAAATTCTTATCCAAGTTGCAGAAAATTGACAGTGAAACCCTAAATTTGCTCTAAACTTGTCACGAGGCGAGGCCTGGTCGGTAGCTTCGAGGATTTCTGTAATGGAGGCTATCGAGTCAATTAATCCAGACAAAAATATTCTTAATTTTTTCTTCACAAAAGAATTTATGACTCAGAAAATGCAGTGATTCCGTAGATGGACATGTCAAAATCAAAGCCTGATTCACTGCATTTGTACAAGAGTAATTTGCTCAATTTTATTAAAAAAAATTAAATTATTTTCACAAAAGTTTAAATCTTTGAAATTAATGTCATCCCAGAATTATATTATTAGATTATTCTTAAACACAATAATCAAAAGAATTAAGACTGTAGTAAATTTAACAAAAATTTAATTTTATTGATAACACAGAACACGTTATTTTATGAATATATTATAGATTAATAATATATCTATCAAAATATTTGATTAATAGATCTAGTACTTAATAAGTTATATTTTTATTTTAATAAATTATTTAATTAAAATAGTTATAATAATGGATTAATATTTGAGGTGGTCTTTAATTTTAGAAGAAAGAAAATTGAGTTATTTAAAATTTTATTGGTCTATAAAAGGAGGTTAAATGTGAGAGAATAGGCCATAGGCATGTCATAATCCATCCATTGAGAGAATGGGGAAGAATGGTTTTGTCAACCACCTTGTAATTCTCTTGAACTTAGCAACTCTCTTCACTTCACTTGCTTGTCCCTACTGCCCATACCCAACTCCACCCAAACACCATCATCCCCCCAAGTTCCCACCTAAACACCCCCCATTTGTCAAGCCACCGCCGCACACTAAACCACCAAAGCCCCCTGTCGTCAAGCCACCGCCGCACCCTAAGCCACCAAAGCCTCCAGTCGTCCACCCTCCCCCCCACATTAAGCCACCAAAGCCCCCAGTCAACCCACCCTACGTGCCAAAGCCCCCTGTTAACCCACCCTACGTGCCAAAGCCCCCTGTTAACCCACCCTACGTGCCAAAGCCCCCTGTTAACCCTCCCTACGTGCCAAAGCCACCTCCCATTGTCCCCAAACCCCCCATCATAAACCCACCATTGCCACCCCCTTACCATCCAAGTCCCCCCATTGTCAATCCACCGCCTACTCCCACCCCGGAGACACCATGTCCGCCTCCGCCGCCGAAGCAAGAAACGTGCCCCATTGACACCCTCAAACTGGGCGCATGCGTTGATGTCTTGGGTGGCCTGGTGCATATTGGGATCGGCAGTAGTGCAAAGGACACGTGCTGTCCCGTGCTTCAGGGACTGGTGGATTTGGATGCTGCCCTTTGTCTCTGCACCACTATTAAGGCAAAGCTTCTTAATATCAGTATTATTTTACCCATTGCTCTTGAAGTTCTCATTGACTGCGGGAAGTATCCGCCGCCAGGATTCAAGTGCCCTGCTTGACTTGATCGATCATCATTTTGGTAGAACGACTTGAAGAACTCAAGAGATTAATCTATATATTTGTATCTTAATAAATGGCTTTTGTGCTTGTTTTGAGGGTGTTTGGATCAAGTTTCCAGGAAAAAGAAGCTTCAGCTTCCGTGAATCATCTTTTTATTTGTAACTTTGTAGAGTTCATATTTCTCTTTTAAACCCAGTTAGACAGAAAAACATGTTTCAAGGTTTGATATTACCAAAAACTGTGTCATTTTCTTTCTGATCATTATAAATGAGAATTTCCTCCTTTGATTAATGTATGGAGTGCGCATATATGTGTGTGTGTGTGTGTGTGTGTGTATGTATGTATGTATGGATGTATTTGTAGTACTCTTGGGTACTATACCATATTAAATAAATATGAAATCCACATTAATTAAATTTTGTATGTCTGAACTGTTACACTTAAAAAAAAATGGTTTAAATTTTTAATCATGACGTTAATCATCCCTTAACTGCTGAGGTTAATGGGGTACTTAATCGCCTCAAACTTAGTGGGATCGTAGCATTCGTAAGTTCATTGTTGAAGTTGACTCTCCCTGTGCCCGCACAGCATATGCCTCACCGTAGATCTGGAAATACAATTTAAGGTTATGCTCGCTCTTGATTGAAAAATCTAGATATTTCATATTCATAGAGACTACAATTCTTATGCCGATCATCTTGCTTTGCGGGCACATGATTTTTCTGTGGGATACATTTCTTTTACCTATGCTCCGAATTAGCACAACCACTTACCATATGTAGACCATGGGTCGTCTCTTTCAGTTCTAGGTTTTCTTTCTCATTCGTAAGAAAAAAACTAAGTTTTAGAATTTACTTTCAAACAATATCAACATGCATATTGCATTTTCAGTTACTATTTATAAAATATTGAAACTAGAATCTTATTATAAACAATATATATATATATTTTTGAATAAATATAAAAAATAGACAGGCCAGGCGATGAGCGGCCTTTCTACAAATGGGCCGTCAGACCCAAGCTTTAGCAAATTAGCGCGGCCCAATATAGGGGCAGTCTGGCTCGAACTTCGTTTGCGAGCCTTATGGATCGGGTTTGGATTGGTCCATTAGCTACTATTAATATTTAATTTATTTTATTGATATATTATATTTTAAAAAACTTTTATTATTATTTCCACAATTTTACTGATTTTATTATTATTTATTATTTATTTAACAATTAAGCTTGGCTACTGAATTTATTATTTATTTATTTAACAATTAGCCCATGAGGAAGATCTCAATTTTTGGATTGGGCCGAGAGCTTCGATTCATAAACTTCTAAAGGAAATGTGAAAAGAAAATAAAATCATTATTTATAAGCGTCAACAATTTTCTTGAAGAACAAGTCTAGTACACTCGCAGCTGAAATATAATCCCTGTAGCTTCTTAGACGGAGCATTAGCTGCTTTGGTGAGAATAATTTACAGGTGAGTTAGATCCTGCATTTATCCGTTCTTGTTTCGTCGACTTTATCATCGCTATTGTTGTTCTTGTTGTTGTTTTGATTTTCTTTTTTGAAATTTCTGTTGCATTTTTGTTTATGAGATTTCTATTTTGTGAGAAAATGGAGTGGAATAGTTTCTGGA